TAAGTCAGGGCACGGCTAACTCAAAGATTGAACTTAAATTTTAGAATCAAGGTTGAAACTTACTCACATATGCACACATTTCACATTTTTACTTTATTTCTAGATATATCTAATGTCGGAAAGGTCTATTTTAGGTAAGTTTAAAAGAATGTTTATTGTTTTACAACTGACTAGACTCCATCAGATGTGGAAACGGTTCTTTTAGTGGATAACAGTGTTATGTTGCCGTTTTGTTGTTTTTCAGCTCTTACGATGAAAATTCGACCAAAGAGCTTGATTGGATTTTCTCCAATATAGCAGAACAGGAAGCCGTCAGTAAGTTTGGTGTTTTCAAGGACTGATTACTCACTTTCTCAATTTCTCTCACTGATGATGAAGATGATGGTGATGATGATGGTGATATTATGATGATATGATGATGGTGATGATATTGAGATAATAATTATGATGGTAATGTGAATGATGATGATAGGGATGATGATGACAAAGTTAGTCAATAATTACTTTGACAACAATATTTCAGGTGGCAGGTGTGAGATTGAAGCAAAAGACATCGAGATCAGTAAGGGTGGGCGGACAATACACGCGCCAATCACGTGCGGACGTCTGGCAGACTTTACCTTTGAACAGCTTTGCATGAAGGTATTAAAACAAACTGGTTTGAAACTATTTAAATGTTAAAAAAATCTGGGTCAAGTTAGCGTCGYAGTGCATTTTGGGACTATTTTAGGGGACTAATTTACAAGATGGCGTTTATTCCGTTCCCTAAAACAGACCCACAATGCATTGCAACAGACCCACAATGCAATACAAAGCCGACTCGACCCAGTTTTTTCCTTCAACCTCAGAATGGCTAAAACCAATGATAAAAGTGAAACGAAAAATAAATCGGATAAGTTTGTACAACTTTTAATACTTTGTTTTTCGTTTGCCAGCCGGTAGGAGCTGCAGATTACCTTGCATTATGCAAACACTTCGATGTCATAATATTAAGAGATATTCCACAGATGACTTTGTACAGAAAGACTGAAGCTCGACGGTTCATCACACTGATTGATGCTCTGTATGATAACAGGGTAAGGCGCTACACTCTATTCGTGTACATTGCGAACGAGTCTGATGGAAAGAAGGTGTCTTAATAGCCCACCTCCGAAATATACTTCTCTTGTCACGCACAAAGGTTTCAGTATGAGGCTACGTGCTAAATTAAGTTAATTCTTACCGCCTGTCACGAATGACTGAGCATTAAGCACGTAGCCTCATACTGAAACCTTTGTGCGTGACAAGCGAAGAATATCTCGGAAGTAGGCTATTAAACTGTAGGTCTAGCCTCCTCCACAGGGTACTCCATATATTCTCTGTTGGGATCCCTGTATTAAATTTAAAGAACTAGGAACGAGAGACAGGAAGCCTAAGGAGCAAAAAGAGCCAAGGAGATGCCTGCGGAGGAGTCTACTGTAGGTTATGTATTTGCAATCATTTCCAAAAGAATGAAAATAAAATACAAAGCCGCGATATTGGTTGCTATGGCAACTGCTCGGTTTCACTTGACGTCATTTCCTGTCTCGTGCATAATGTTCATCAGCTGAAGCACAAGTTTTYAATAGAATTGTCTGGCTGACAGCACATAGTGGTCAGTGTTTGTCCACCATTTGGAGCATATGAGATTCAAAGACTTTTGTCATCTGATGAAACCCATGGCCAGCTGTAACCACATTTTAAAAGCTAACGGCGTCTTGCTATTGCAAGCATTTTTTTGCGCAACATTTTTAGTGTTTCATTTAGTTGCGCGTAAATGTTTTAAGGCTCATTGTTGTACGCGACATTCACCTCAATAGCCCATTTCCGAGATATTCTTCGCTTGTCACGCACAAAGGTTTCAGTATGAGGCTACTTGCTAAATGCTCAGTCATTCGTGACAGGCGGAAGCATATCTCGGAGGTGGACTATTGCAAGTCTCTTATGCAATCTGATGTGAGCTTTTATCGTTGACCCAGGTTCGTTTGGTCTGCTCCGCCCAAGCATCGCCTGCAGATCTTTTCCAAGCTTCACCACTGAGCCAAAAGGACATAGAAGACCAAAGAATGCTGATAGATGATCTACAGTTAACATCAGTAAGTCCATAATAGTAATCATGCCCAACATGGGCCTTACCCTCGCTTGACGAACAAGGTGCATTATGGTCTAGCTTGGGTACAAGCTAACATTCGCAACAGCATTCAAACAGCATTGGCAAAAGCATTTTGCAAGTGCAGGGCATATGAAGGATTGTTTTGAAACTTCTAATCTTGGTTTGATACAAAACTTTATTTTTAATAGTCGAGGTTTTTGATGATTTTGAACTGTTTATAAGCAACCATAAAAGCAATGCAAAGCTTTCCATTTCGAGATTTTGAAATTTTGGGCTAAATTTCGTAGTCAAGATTTTGTACAAGTGAAACATTTAAATGGATTCTATATTCAAGCATTGTGATTGGATGATTTGCTTTTCCTTGGATTTTGATTGGTTTAGAGTGGAAGCCATTTGACAGCACGTCATGGTAACCCTGGTGACAGGTTTTCCTCATGCTAGGGTTATCCAAGATTAACAAACAATCTCTTATTTTATACCTTCAGGCTGATGATATCGACATAAACGCTAGCATTTTCACCGCAGAGGAAGAAATCTTCGCCTTCGAAAGGACTATTTCCAGAATGATGGAAATGCAGAAGGAAGAATATTGGAATTCACCAGGAATGAGAACAGATAAACATGATTAACGTCATGATATCAACGAGAAACCTCTATAGAAGAAGCATTCTAATTGGCTACTGTTTTAAGACTATTCAGACCACGTGTGGTTGCTTTTAGGAATAGACCCTTGCAACACATCAGAGTTAATACAGCTCAATTTGGAAGACAATAGATTGGAATTTTTTTGGCTTTGTCCTCCAAATTGAGCTGTTTTGACTTCAAGTGCAAGAAGTCTTTGTTTGAGCCTCGTCTATATTTCTGTTTCTTCTCAAATACTACTGCTAAACGAAGGAATAATACTCAAGAGAATAAAAAAAAGATCTGAAATGGGGGAAAAGTGGTTAGCGGTTCAGTATCGTACGAGTGAGAAAACCTACACGGTACTGATTTAACGACATGCTATAACATTGAAATGGCTTCCCATTGTCTTATGACGCATTTTTATTGGCTATGGCAATTCCATTTACAAATTTTGAGGTCTATTTTGAAATAATATTAAATCTACAAAAAAATTAGGTTTCAAAATTAGGAGGGAAAAAATAAATATTTATATTATGTAACGAATTAAATTATTTTTTATAATTATTAATAAAAAGTACTAAATTACGTTGTTTACTTTGTGTTTATTGTTTGATCCTTGCCTGTTATGACTTTTCTTCTATAAAAAGGCCGCAGTTAACCATGTGTGTCCAGGAGTAGAAGCATTCAGTCGATTAACAGCGATTTAGGTACCCCTGGATAGAATCCACCAAAAAACGACTCGGAAAAGGTACTGAACTCGTGATCCTTCGTTAAGCCTAAAGAAAAATATAAATGTCAATACTGGTGCCAGAAATTAGCCTACCCTCCCCTCATCCTGCCTCCCAAGAGCCCCTACGCACGCTAACCAGAAATGGGTTCCTGATCTGTACCCAGCCTGGATTTCAGGACTCTCGCTCCAGTACTTCCTGGTCGTAGGTTTTTCTCTGGCAAAATTTGAGCCCGGGACATGCGTTCGCAAAATTTAATCAAGTAAAAACTGAACACAAATGAGCCGACTTCCTTAGTTTAATGTCATTGTGTGACGTACCTAGGGACGGCGCCCAGCATATAGACCACTTGCATGTGCCATCAAAGCAGCTCAATTTGGAGGACAAAACAAATGAGAATTGGAAACCTATTGTTCTCCGAATTGAGCTGCATTCCAGCGTGCTGCAAGGGCTCTATAGTATGCTCAAGTGGAACAGTGCGGTGCTCCAGAGCTCTTGTATAATTTGAATCATATTATGAGGATCATTACCTGTTATAAAATCTGCAGTGGGGATGGCAATCGTTGAGCACTGCCTGATCAAGTCTCCCCAGAATGTATCCATCTCGTGGTAGAAGTGGCCTTCCGTCTTGATAGGCTCATCGGTGTGTTTAGCAGTGTTTGCTGTGCCATTAATGCATGGTTGGCCGAGAAGAGCATTATCTGTGAATAACGACCCCCACTGGTCCGAGAGGAGCACTTCTTCTTTGCCCTCTTCAACTTCTAACTCCTGGAAAAAGTAATTTGTCATCAGTGTTATCCTCGATACTAGCATAATATCAGTCATCATCATCATATGTAATCATCAACAAGACCTCAGCATCATGATACGTCATCATAATGATCATCAGCATCATTATCACCAGCCATCATCATCAAGAAATCTTATCATCACCACTATAATTACAACCATCATCTTCATCACCACCATCATTGCCACCATTATCATCACCATCGCCACTACACTGCCATCATCATCAACAATATCATTATCAACATCACAATTGCCACCATCACCACCACCACTATCAATGATCTTCATTGATATCCCCATAATCTTCAACACCATCATCATCATCACTATCATCACCATTGCCATCACCATCACCGCCATCATCCCCATCACCACCATCACCATCATCTACATTAAGATCTCGGCATCAGTATCATTATTTTCATCCATCATCACTGTCAACCATCATCATCACTCATCAATATCATCATTCCTCATCACCCACTCTACAGAGAATTAAGTACGGCTAGTGTCAAGACTCACCAGTAATTTAGGTCTTTTTCTCTTTGGACTGCCATCATCTTCGTCCTAATAAAAAAAATTCTGAGCATTAAATGAAATTAAACTCTTAAATAGGCAGAACAAAAGGCTAAAAATTGGTTTGAGCAGGCAACACTATGTTAACAGCTAGATTCCAGATACATTAGGGAACATTTATAATTCATATATCATTTATAATTTTGAAATATCTTTTTTGAGGTGGCCCCTACTCAAATTTTTCAGTGACCACCAAAACTAGATTTTTAGTATACACCAAATATCTTTGGCTTTAAAAAATATTTTTGAAATTTAGACCCTCCCTAAATGTTACGAGAAATAATGGCTTGGCCACTCCAAATTCCTATACCCCCCCCCCCCCAAATTATGAATGCTCCCTTACAAAAAGGATGATCATAAAGAGGATTAATTGGGACAGTTTTCAATGTTTACCAGTTGATTGTGGCTTGTGGTAACCATTCCTTCTGTCTCCATCTCCTCTAACACAGCAGCAACATCCCACTTTGCTATTGTTTTCGTAGGATAAATATCTGATTTTGCACTATCACCAAAATACAAAATCTAGGCAAAGCAGAAAGTATTTGTTATCAAAAAACAAAACCTCCTACAAGATTTATACCCCATTCACACCAAGGCTTAAACATGTTTTAAAGTGGTTTAACTAAACAGGTTTGGAAAACTATCTACAAACACTGCGCAGTCTTTGGTGAAATAATGCATGTAAACTATCCTTTGTCTTGCTCTGATAATGTTTTAGAAAGTTTCATTATATTGTAGGTTTCTAGTTTCTCTTTTTTTTCCCCTAATGAAAACACAGTTTAGCTAAACAGGTTTAGGTATGAGTGGGGTATTAGTCTCCTTTTTGCTAACCTTAGGCTCGTCCTTCCCTGTCCATTTTTTAAAATGTTTCATTAGAGTTTCTAGATTCCCTTGTGAGTAGGTTTTCTTTAGTTGAAGTTCATGGGTTTCTTGGACTTCTTTCATATCCTCTGCCGAGGTAATATTAAGGATGCATGGTAAGATTATTGTCATCAACATGACTACTACCATACGTTTACATGAACACTATTACATGATCGCGTCATTACGATACAAGGACATAAACACCACCACTTATCACAATCAGCAGCATTGCCATTGCTAGCATCATTAACATCTTCAAATTCATCATCATCATCAGCAGCAGTAAGGGGGACTCGCG